TGTTTCTAGTGCTAACTAATAAATAAAGGTGGATGGTAAAACTGGTAATTTAGGAATCAGTCACAAATGTTGAAAGCCTTTTTACATTGAGGTGAATTTCTCTCAACTGGAAAATAGCTGAATTTGCTTCAATCACCAATTCTCTCCATTCTCTGAAACAATCTTTTTTTCTTATTTTACTGGGCAAGCAGTGATAAATTACTTTAGGCTTCTGTTAGCAGTGTTAAAAGCACTGACATCACTTGTAAGAATGCTTTATTTTAGACAGTTTAGACAATACTATTCAGATATGTCCCAAAGTTGCTTTTTTCATGAAGAAAGTGGACTTTCTTGTTTTTCTTTGAAGATGTTTCGCTTCTCATCCAAGAAGCTTCTTCAGCTCTGACTGGATGGTGGGGAATGGAAGGATTTATACTCCTTGCAGATAGTTCTTCCATTGCCCACTATCCAGTCAGAGCTGAAGCAGCTTCTTGGATGAGAAGCAAAATGTCTTCAAAGAAAAACAAGAAAGTCCAGTTGCCTTATGAAAAAAGCATCTATGGGACAACTATGACCTGGATGACTGAGACTCTCCATAATTATTCTGATATGATTATGATAAATTTACTATAGTATTTAAATACCAATTAGGCAATTTATATACAATTTATTATCTTACATTTTTCCAGAGATAAAAAGGTTTTATATGTATTTCTATTTATTCTTGACTCTGAAAACAGCATTATACAATTATCTCCTATTCATTCGTTGATTCATAACCTCAACAAACAATTTAAGTTCCAGAAAAAATAGTTTTTAAAAGCAGTTCTTAGTCTGAATGCTGAAATGATAGAGGAGGATTAGTTCAATAATCAAAATGAGCAGAGAACTGGATCCAAAGAGCTTTGTATATGAACAAAAAGTATAATTTGGCTATAGATAGGGAAATTTAGACTGTTTTCCTTGGAAATGTTATGGTATTGTACCACATTTTGTGCTGGAAACTGTTAGAATGGCTGAGATCTCACTATACTCTATCCATGAACAGAAGCTACTATGCCCAGTATAATATAGACTATGGAAGTAATGAAGTGGTAAGAAATTGCACAATATATAAATCACAACAAGAATAATTTTGAATAATGATCCTTTTATTTTTTTAAAAAAACTTGCTGACTTTACAGATTTAAAAAACAGTAATTTAAAATAATTGTAAAATATTATTAATGGCCTGGAGTACTTTTTTAATCTTATTACCAAGAAACATATTTTTGCTTCCTGACAAAAATGCCAACTTTTCTTTTGCCTACTCTATATATTTTTCATCCTTAACATTCCAGTAATAAAGTTTTATTACATTAAAGAACATTGAGTTAAATCTCAAGCAGCACTTTTATAAGTGGAATAAATTTCTCTATTAAAGATAAGTTCCTTCTAATAGAAAACTGTCTTTTAATGAAATCTGTTTTGATCCACTCCTGTATATGAAAATGATCATCAAGTTTTCCTAAATTCAAAGAGTAGGAAGGAAGCAAATATTGAAATATTTTGTTAGATTGGTTTGCGATGTCCTACAATGAGACATATTTAAGTTATCTCTGGCTATTTTATTTTATTTTAAAAAAAAAACAAAGTCAACAAAAGAATATGTTAACTCTGCTCTCAGGAAAGGATAAAAGTCTAAATATGTAATATATATATATATACAGACATCTATCATACATTTATAGAAAAAAGATCTATAAGAGGGATTTTTCTCTACAACATGGAAATTTGTAAATAAAAAAAATAATGGTTATGGTGAAGGTGAAGTGTGGAAAATATGGAAAATTAATGTGATCCTACTAAATATTTGAGAATTACACCTGTGTATGATTTCTTAATTTTATGTATTATCCATTCTTTTGTCAACTGAAAAAAAAATCAATTTCCCCCCCGGATTCTCTAACAGCATAGTCTACTTGAATTAAATTCTATAGGATTCAGTGCACATATTCTTCAAATTATACTTCTATGCTCTTGTACATACAGTATCTATAATAATCTATAACACGCAACAGATGATCATAACATATAACTGTATTTATTTCTAATACAAGGATTTGTTTCTATTTCAAGTGAATAAAAATAATGTAGACTATTTTTGCATAGCTTTATGCACCTCTCCCTCACTGCCAATAACCTCAGTAAATTATCTTTTCCTTATTTCTAAGTAACTATAGCCAACTGACACATATTTCTGATATGGTAAGCTTATAGATGTGAGATGTAGGCTTGGGGCTGAAGATTAAAAAAAAACTTGGGAAAGAAGGAAATATATCTCTCTGATTTTATTTTATAAGAAAGGTAAGGGATCTGAACGGACATATAATGCTTCACTTTTATACTGAACTAAAATGTTTATTAGATAGCCTTAAATTGTTTGTATAAACACAAATCTTTTTCAGTTTTAAAATTATTAAAGTGGCAAATGAGTCAGAACTATCTAGTTTTTCTTACTAACCATAGTAAAGTTGCTGTAAAATATTTGTACTATTCATTATCCTCAAATAAAAGTATGAACACTGCATCTCCATATACAATAAAATAGTTTAAATAAATTTTGAATAGCATATACATAATTATTATTATTATTATTATTATTACTTTAATTTATATCCCGCCCTTCTCCCGAAGGACTCAGGGCGGCTTACAGGCAATAAAAACGGAACTATACAATAAATATCTAAAAACAATTAAAATATATATTAAATAAGCCTGTTATTTTTAGAAAAGTTATAAAATCCCTATTAAAATCCCTATACAATCCCCCCCCTAGGCCAATCCCGCTTGATGGAAAAGCCATGTCTTGAGGGCACGGCGGAAGGAGGGGAGATCCGGAATAATCCGGATCTCTGGGGGAAGTTCATTCCACAGGGTGGGGGCTCCCACAGAGAAGGCCCTCCCCCTGCGGGTCGCCAGCCGACACTGTTTGGCCGACGGCACCCTGAGGAGGCCCGCTCTGTGGGAGCGTACCGGTCGATGGGAGGTAATCTGCGGCAGAAGGCGGTCTCGGAGATACCCAGGTCCATAATCTTATACTTATGATGAAACCAGCCTTTCTGTATCTATTTTTATATTATAGTGACTTGTGAAAGATGCATTAATCCTAATGCTTATCACATTTTCAAATTTCTCCTTTCTTACATTTTCTAATATTAAAGCCTTTAAAAGCATTCTGAGTGGAGGCAAAATTACCTGCATATTTTATTTTTGCACCAAGTACAAAACCTGTAGACAGTGCAGCTTCTTTGAGAAGGAAAGTTAAAACTTTATTCTTTTTATGCATAATACATAATAATTTGCTCATTTGGGCATTCTGTTGTATTATTATTTAACATAATAGACTTCACTAATTTAGTACCATCCAAATTTTTGAACTACAGTTCTTATGAGCCTCAACTTGGCAGTTAGAAAGGCTGCTGAACGGAGCATGGGATGTACCACCTTGTTGAAAGCAACACTCACATCTATTTCTCTAATCTGTTTTAGAAGTACACTTTCCCCTCTATGTTTCTCAAGTGCTTCTAGCTAGGTTAGAGTGTTTTCCGTTTGCTTCAGTCTAGCCATAGTACAGTAGTTCAATGGCTACTCTGCAGATGATCACCCATCAGTCAATTGCAAAAAGTAGTTTTAAGTACATCCCATGACGATACCTTCAAAACCATTGAATAACATTTGCCTATCGCAAGTCCTTGGGAACGGATCGAAAGGTGGATAAAAATATCAAATACAGTCTAAACCAGGGCTCTCCAAACTTTGCAACTTTAAGACTTGTGGACTTCAACTCCCAGAATTCCCTAGCCAGCATGGATCTAAACATCTGACTGTGCTAACAATTATACTAATAATAATTTCTGAGTCTCTTCCTTTTTTCCCTAATAAATACAGTTCCACCACAGCAACAATTTCTAGTTATCTGAAAGAAAGCCTTCAATCTCAGCTTCTCAAAATCCCAAGGACCCTATAGGCTTGTCTGGAAGCTTAGTGAAACTGTTTTATCTCAGGTAATTAGAAAATCAGTGAAACAATGGAATCACACTTATTAGATAAAGCAAAGGAAGAATGACAAATAATAATAATTTAAAAAATCATTTTCTTGATGGATTTTTAATTAACAAAATTTGCTGGCATGATATAAAAAAGAGTTTTACTGACTATTCTATTCTACAAGTATAATAGAAGCAAAACAGCCTTTTGAAGAGATGTAGAGGTAGGGAAGATTTGTTTTAAAAAAACAACAACTTTGTCATGGTTGCATCTATGTGGATTTTGATAATTTTGCATACATAAATTTAATTTAACTTTGTGTATGTGAGTGTTATCTATACCTGTGTCAATCATTTATATATGTGTGTATGTATAAGTTTGTATGTGTGCCTGCAGACATAAAAATACTGATCTCCAGGAGGATCTACCCATAGAAATAAAAGGGGTTAGTAATCATAATTGGAAAATACAAGTAGGTGGATATAGAAACAATGGGATGAAATGATAGCCTGAAGTATGAGGTGAACATTTATAAACTGATGCCAATTTGAACAGGATTTTTTAAAACTGGCTTAGGATCAGATTTGATAGGCACACAGGACAAGTATGTTGTGCATATACAGTATGCTCTTAATGAATGCGAATGTGGCAACAGGTGAATAGCAATCATGTTAAGGTGTTGTCATTATATAGTGTGAATGTTGTGGGATGAACCAAATGAAAACATGATTTATTTACTGATTTGATTATAATTTATACAAAAATGATTTGGAACAAGAGTTCCATTTTTCCCCCAATAGATTTTAGCAAACCGTGCTTCAAATATTATTTTTCTATGTTTGAGGAGAATTAATATAGTTAGCAAGTTAGAGATTACAGTTGTGGGATGTATTAGATATTTTTGCTGAGAAAAATTGATTAGTATATATTTGAAAGAAAATGCCAAATAGTGCAAATAAACTAATTATATGAAAGGTATTTATATTTTTCAGGTCCTCAATCATCTGCATAAGAAGCTGAGGAACATTTCAAAGAAGTCAGAAGCATCCAAGAAGAAGGTAAACAGCTTTTCTTATAAAACAATCTATATCAGAGCAGCATATTTATTAAGCCAATTAGTATGTTACAAAGTAATTTGCATGTTTGATTTCCCTTTGTCATACTATGATAAAACAAAGAAAAGAAGGTGGGAAAATGATAGCAATCAAAATTAGAGCAGCAGAGTGAGGTAATAGGTAACAGATATTAAGCTTTATTGCTTTCTGGGGAAAATTCTTGAAAAATAAATATACTGTCTTGAAATGCCATTTTTTCTGCCTCCATATATTAACTAACCCTAAATAGTCCATCAAATTAAAAACAACTTGTTAATTTACCTTGTAATTTCAATATTTTTCTCAGAAATCCTGTCCAGTTGTAGGGAGATCACTCCATTTCAATACAGATAGTCCTTGACTTACAACATTTCATTTAGTGACTGTTTGAAGTTACAATGGTGTTGAAAAAATGACTTATGACCGTTTTTCACACTTACAACCATCACAACATCCTGATGGTCATGTGATCAGAATTCAGATCCTTGGCAATTAGTTCGTATTTATGACAGTTGCAGTGTCCCGGGGTCATGTGATCACCTTTTGTGACCTTCCGATAAGCAAAGTCAATGGGGAAGCTAGGTTCACTTTAACAACTGTGGTACTAATTTAATAACTGCAGTGATTCATTTAACAACTGTTGCAAAAAAGATCATAAAATGGGGCAAATTTCACTTAACAAACATCTCATTTAGCAACAGAGCTTTTGGGCTTAATTTTGGTCGTTAAGTCAAGGACTACCTGTATGTCATCAACACCACCTTTCATAAGAAAAGTCTAATAATCTCTCCATACCTTGTTTTTAAGAGATGGCTTTCACCTCATTTGGGGAATAGAGTCCAAACAGTTTAGTTTTAACCCCATGTAAATTAATGTCTACCCCAGGGGTAGGCAACCTTGGCTCTTTTATGGCTCGTGGACTTCAACTCCCAGAATTCCTGAGTGAGTTGCCTACCCCTGGTCTACCCCAACAAATCTGCTGTGTTCATTAGTCAATACAAGTTGTAGTTTAGTTTTAGTTGAAGGTTAATATAAAAAAAACAATTCATTTTCTCTTTTTCATTCAAGGATTCTTCATTCAAGGATTTTATAAATGAAATATTTCACATCATTCTTATTATATGAATCTCTTGTAAACAAATAATGTCTTTTTTAATTTTAAAAATTTCCAGTAGGTGTTGACATTTTCCAAGATAAACCAGAAATATAACATGATTTTCAGACCTCTCTCCTCAGCAGATACACCTGTGACTTTATTTAGCAGATCAGTGCCAATCATCAACCATGCAATCAAATAACATTTCCAAGAATTATATTTATTTTCTGCCTTACTTAAAAACAGAAGTTATGTCCTTGCTTATGAGCCCTATACAGCAGTCTAAAAACAACATGATGTAATAAAGGCACAACACTTTAAAAAAGCTCTCCCCATAAGAAAAAAAGATCTTAAATTCTTCTTAAAACATTTTTATTTTTTCCCCTTTATGTCATAATGTTTTTTTATTTGTTGAATACTTGCAGACAAAAAACATATAAGGAATGGTTGCTGGAATTGGGAATGTCTAGTCTAATGAAGAAAAGGACAGGTGACATTATAACAGTGTTCCAATATCTCAGGGGCTGCCACAAAGATGAGGGAGTCAAGCTATTCTCCAAAGCACCGGAAGGCAGGACAAGAAGCAATGGATGGAAACTAATCAAGGAGAGAAAACAACCAAAAATAAGAAGAAATTTCTTGACAGTTGAACAATTAATCAGTGGAACAGCTTGCCATCAGAAGTTGTGGTTGCTACACCACTGGAAGCTTTTAAGAAAAGACTGGACAGCTATTTGTCTGAAATGGTATAGGCAGTGGTGGGATTCAAATATGTGAACAACTGGTTCTCTGTGTGGATGCTGCTTCCGGAAGTCCATTCTGGGCCTGGGCAACAAAAAACTAGCTACCGGTTCTGCCGAACTGGTGCGAAGTGGCTGAATCCCACCACTGGGTATAGGGTTTCCTGCCTGAACAGGGCGTTGGACTAGATGACCTCCAAGGTCTCTTCCAACATTAACAACAACAACAACAACAACAATAATAGAGTTGGAAGGGACCTTGGAGGTCTTCTAGTCCAACCCCCTGCTCAGGCAGGAAACCCTATAGCATTTTAGACAAATGGCTGTCCAGTCTCTTCTTAAAAACTTTATTATTATTATTACTATTATTATTATTATTATTATTATTATTGTTGTTCTTATTCTTGTTGATAATAATAATAATAATAAAAAAAAAACACTAAAAAGGATTTGAAGAAGTTTATCAGCACTGATCATTATGAAAGTAGCTTTGAGATAAATTCTATTTCTGCCACATTATCCAGCTTGCTTTTAGGAAAATATTCAAGATAAACATCCAGGTCGCAGGATCGTTATTGGCCCTGGGTTCTGGCTATTGCTGTGAACACCAGATTGATCTATAATAAAGTTGCCCTTAGGAACAATTTGATAGTGGATGAAATGGCCAACCTGGCTTGTTTCAATGAAACTTGGATGGACCTCTTGGCCTTGTGCCACCTGGGTTTTGGGTTTGGCACTAGCCATGACTTCAGAGGATAGGAAGTGATGGTGGTTCTCTGCAATTCGTTACTGGCTTTCAGAATCTCTGCCTTACAGATAACTGAGTATGAAACTCTGGCTGAGAGTTATGCTCTAGGGCAGGGGTTTCCAAACTTGGCCGCTTTAAGACTTGTGGACTTCAATTCCCAGCATGGCTGGCTGAGGAGTTCTGGGAATTGAAGTCCACAAGTCTTAAAGCAGCCAAGTTTGAAGACCCCTGCTCTAGGGCATAGAGCAGTGGTGGCGAACCTATGGCACAGGTGCCAGAGGCGGCACGCAGAGCCCTCTCTGTGGGCACGCGCGCCGTCGCCCCAGTCCTAGGCTTTCAGCTGGGTTTTATAAAACCTTTTCGCTTTAGGCCTCCGCTGCCGTGTGCAAAAAAAAAAAGGTTCAATCAATAAGTCAATTTCAACTTCTCACAGGAAAAAAAAGATCTTGCAAAGTTGGAATTGATTGATTGAACTTTTTAGTCCCACCCAGTCTGCCGTTACCATCGTGGCCACGCCCACCCAATGGGCCACACCCACCCAATGGGCCACACCCATCCGGCACTCAACAATGCATAAGTGGGTTTTGGGTTGCAGTTTGGGCACTCGGTCTCTAAAAGGTTCGCCGTCACTGGCATAGAGGGACTGTTGCTGTTGTATCACTCTTGGGGGTGATATGCGCCTTCCTCAATCTTGGGTCCTGCATCAGAAACCAGGAGGCTGGAGGGTTCTGCACAGTATCTTAGCTGTTCTGAGCACTGTACTCTTTTGGACAGAGAGCTCTGGTGCTGTTCTTGGGATCTGTTGAAGTCTCTCTCTAAGTTTAGGAGTCCCAGTCCTGAGTGCTCCTACCACCACTGGGAATACCTTGGTCTTTACTTTCCACATCCTCTCCAATTCCTTTTTCAGGCCCTGGTACTTCTCCAGCTTCTCATACGCCTTCTTCCTGATGTTGCTGTCACTTGGTGCCGCTACATTTACCATCACCTCTGTCTTCTAGATTACTAGATTTCTATATAGAAACCTATATATGGGTTTTTAATTATAAGTTTCTCAGAATCATTTGGGAGATGGGCAGTATATAAATTAAAACAAACAAACACACTGAGTGGATAGGGACATTAATGTACTATTCAGAGATAAGTCATGCTTAATTATTTAGGACTTACTCACAGACATATTGTGTACAATATAAGTCTCCTTGCTGAAAATTAACCCATGATAACACCAATGGTAAATTCAAACTAGAATAATACAAATGGCTGAAATCTTGGATGATATCTAAAATGTTAGAGTCCTTATAAGATTGGGGGGGGGGGGGAGGAGTTTGATACAAATAGGTTTTACAGCCTGGGTTTGATGTGTAAACATAAATGGTTTTAAAATGTATTTGTTGTTTGGGAGAATTACTCTTCACAGGTTTTGCTTTTTATAAAATTTTATAAAATTACAATAAGTAAACAATAACAATAGTGTAGAATCTCCCCGGTTGCAAACCATATCAATAACAGTATAATGGCTTCTGCTGTAACATAATACGGTTTTTGCAAGAGATTTTCAGTTTATTATATACAATTACTATTTTCAAAGGGCTCCTTTCTCATTATTTTAAACTGTCATCAGTTATAACATATACACCTCAGAGTTTTTAAAAAGGACAAAGGAAAGATACCTATAAATTAAATGTAAAGAAATATCTTTCGTTTCAGCTAGGTTTATAGACAGAAAGAATTATGGTTCACTATTATCAACAGATGATACAACACAGGTTGGTTGATTTTTTTTTATAAAAAACCTCCTTAGTTAAAGTTGTGACAATCAGAGCTTTTTAGATGAAGATAAATTATATTTTTTATATTTATATTTTTTATAATGATATCAACTGTGAATTCAGATAACCTATGGAAAATTGGTTAACTGGTTATCCGCATATGCATCTGACATAAAATTTTCTGGACCAGTGATTATCATATCTTGGTCTGAAATCTCTTCATGGTTAGTTAAGATCCGGGAGTCTGAAGGGGGCTTTGAGTTTTAAATGTTTGGACAAGGTTAATATAGAAATTTCAGCACGCCAATGGATAATTTACAAAGCACTCCTAAGGCTATAACTCAGAATTGAATGGCTCTTACTTCAACTTAAGTGTTTTTAGGATTTTTATCATAAAGTAATACCTTGCTCTTATTAAACCTCTCAAGTTACTGGAGGATTTGCTTAGACATATCCTTTCTATTTTCATTGCTTTTATGATGCATTAGTAATTATTAGTAATCGTGTGACAGCCTTTTCACATTATTTATTGTTTTTCTCTCTCTCTCTTTCTCTCTTAGACTGCTCAAACTGTCCTTGTGGTTGTGGTGGTTTTTGGGATATCTTGGCTACCACATCATGTCGTCCACCTCTGGGCTGAATTTGGAGACTTCCCCCTAACTCAAGCTTCATTTTTCTTCAGAATAACAGCACATTGCCTGGCTTACAGTAATTCTTCAGTGAATCCTATTATATATGCATTCCTTTCTGAGAATTTTAGGAAGGCCTATAAGCAAGTGTTTGAGTGTCAGATTGGTCACAATTCGCCTCTGAATGAAGTTAAAGATAATAAGAGTAATATTGACACGCCTCCAACTACTAATTCTACACATGTTTGAAGAATGAATGTGGTTGGCTGTTCTGCTGCTGTTTCATAGGAATGGACTTGCTCTAGCTGCTTTGATTTAAAAAAAATGCAATTCCCAAACTGAGCAAATATTTCAATTTTGTATGGGTCATTAGTACCCAACTAATTGAAGTTCAGTTTATTTTGTTGCTGAAAGGAGTAAGAAAATCTGATTCATAGATAAAATACTTTAATGCCTTCTTACTGAAAGAAGTTTGAATAAGAATTGTTTTTAAAAATTAAAACAATTAATTGAATAAGATTAATATATAATTCCTCTTGCTCTAATGCATTTGTGTTATGCTTAAAATATTGGGTTTTTTTTCTTATACAAGTTTATTAATGTAAATCGCTTAAGCCATTTGTAAGTTGTAAGTTGAAAACTTTCTGTAGAGTAACTCTTGCATAAAATTAGTTTGTATAGATGCATTTTTAGATTTTTGAGGAAAGTAATTCAAAACTAATAGTATTAATTTATATTCTGCTTCCGTCAATAATTTTATGCATAGCAGACACTTTGCTTATTTATTTAAACAATTCTGTAACTTGGATCCATGCTAACTATTTATCTGCCTGGTTTATGATTAGAGTTGATTTCAAACTATTTTTTTTCTGGTACTTGATATTTACATAAACTGTACAACGCCAGAAATACAAATTATGGGCAGTGAATTTGGTTATTTACTATAATTGCAAAGAAGGTGATCAAGCAATCATGCTTCATATGCATTTCTAGAGGAGGACTAGAATAAGTAATGAGCTGATATATAGCTGCTTTCATTCAAACCTATCAGTTACTACTACTTCTAAGTGGTGTTTGACAAAGGCACAGGATACATTCCTGTACATTCTGTGATGAACCGAATGAAAAGGACAATTATATTGGAGAATTCATCCTATCAAGCATTAAAAAATATATATGTTTGACTTTTAAGAAGGCTAGACTTCAAATCTGTTCTATAGATCTGACATGTTGAATGAGGGAGTAAGTACACGGTACATTGTGGCATATTACAAAATGCTATTTCTCCATTTTGATGAGTTCCTTGGCTCTGATCATTCTGAAACAAAAAGTCAAAATGCTCCAAAGTTTGTAGAATAATAATAATTACAGGTCAGATGCTGGAACCCCAGCTGTAACAAGGATGAGATCATAACAGGCAGCGTTAGAAAGAAAAGATGCAGAACTAAAAATACAGGTAATCCTCACTTAATGAATGCCTCATTCAATGACTGTTTGAAGTTATAACAATGCTTAAAAATAACTTTAAAACCAATGCCTGCATTTATGACTTTTGCAGCATCCTGCAGTAGCAGTCTTCCATTGTGGAATGGAAAGACTGAAGAGGAAGAGATCACAAGAGAGTAAGCAGCCACCCAGTGGGGAATACACATTGAAAAGAATGCTGTGGTGCTTGCAGCCCCAAGCATGTTTGGAGCTGGGAGCAGTGAACTGGCTATGCAAACATAGAGTGACTACTAGACCAAGGTCACCCAGCCAACTTTCATGTCTAAAGTGGGACTAGAACTTAAGATATCCCAGTTTCTAGACCAAACTGATTGTATATCAGATGGATATGTCTTGCAGACATATTTAGGTATTTATCTCACTGATATATCCATGTGATCTGGAAGGAAGCTTGTCAGGAAAAGCTGTTAAGCACAATGACTAGCTGTGCTAGAATGTAGGGTGAGGTAAAGCATCTTTGGTATGCTAGACACTTTTTTAAAACAAGAAAAAAGTGACGTAGCAGATATTTTCTTCAATATATCCCATTCTCTTGTTTCTCTTCAGATTGATCATATCCCATTTTGCTCAAGGATTCTGTGAAAGTGTTAGTTACTCAAGGTTACTTCATTATTATACCCAATTAACCATTAATATCCAATAAATGGGAGCAGAAGAAGACACTTACTTTAATCTTTTGAAATCTGTGTCCTGTACTGTTTTTCTCTAATGCTTGATATTGCATCAGCTTAACATTCCATGTATGCTTGAATTTGATCATGAGAATGTCTCAACAAACACCTTCGGAGCAGGTTGTTGATGCTGTCTTATGGAAGCATTAAGAAAATGGGCTTTTTTTTAGAGGGAGATCATAGTCAGGTGCATAAAAGTTTTGCTAAAATAAATATATAAATAGACATGCCAATTATAATGATATTAATTAAGAGGAGCTCTTAATATCATTATAATGATATTAAGTAAATATCATTATAGTAAAATTATTTTCTCTTAAAGTAAAATTATTTTCCATCTTGAATGATTCAGTGATTCAAATAATTCAGGCAGAAGAAAATGCATGTTTATGAACATTACTCTCTTTTGGATACTTACAAAACAATATTTTTCATGGCTGTGCATCTCATAACCTGAAGAAAGAAGCATCACTAACATGTAACAAGTAAATGAGAAGAAATGAATGCTGCCAAGACTGAATTTAATTCAGAGCTGTGCAGAAAAGATCACAAAGCAATGACTTTAAACAGATTGCATTACTTGTTTAATTTCTGGTGTTTGTTTTCCCATTTAAAAAATGCATATGTATTTCTGTACCTGACTGTATAACACAAAACATAAACACTGCTTGATACTGCATGTGTGCCTTAATATTGCATTTAATTTTAATGCCTCAGGCATTTTTATGAGTTTTTAAGGTACTTAGTCACTGGGTAGCCATGTACAAAGCTTTGTAAAGGCGCATCTTTCTGCATCATCTTACTGGTCTAAAATTTCTTGGCCCATGTATATATTTCTACAAAAGCAGAAGTTCTGCTCTACCATTGATATAAAATGTCTTTGTCAAGGCTGAGACTTCCTTTACATACAGATGCAAGTATACATGTAACACAACAGTACAGATAGTTCTTGACCTACGACAACAATTGAGCCCAAAATTTGGCTCAACTGTTGCTAACTGAGACATTTTTAAGTGAGCTTTGCCCCATTTTATGACGTTTCTTATCACAATTGTTAAGAGAATCACTGCAGTTGTTAAGTTAGTAACATGGTTGTTAAATGAACGTGGCTTCCATATTGACTTTGCTTGTTAGAAGGTTTCAAAAAGTATTCATATGACCCTGGGACACTGAAATAGTTGTAAGTCAGTTGTCAAGCTTCTGAATTTTGATCATGTGACCATGGGGATGCTGCAATGATCATAAGTGTGAAAAAGTCATTTTTTCAGTGCTGTTGTAACTTTGAACGGTCACTAAATGACCTGTTGTAAATTGAGGACTATCTCTACAGAAGTGCTTTAATACTATATACAGACTAATGTGCACCATGTACCATGGTACCCTTCTAGATTCTTTATTTTTTTTTCTATTTTATTTTTTTACTTCCCAGTGTATCTCATAAGTCTGGTACTCTCTGGTAATGTGCTACTTACATGGCCCAACATTATTAGTGTTTAGGTTTAGGTAAGATAGCCTGATGATGCAATTCAAATTGAGACTCAAACAACATTCAGGGTTTACATATAACAACAATAATTTCATTTGCACCAATGAAATTAGTGCTTCTACATCACACAAACATCTAGCTTTATAACTATGATGCGTGAAAATTGCCTACCCTGTACATATCTATTTCTGCAAAAGAATGATAAGTAAATGTGATGAACATTGTTTTAAGCTGAAATTTCTAATTGTTCTTTTTAAAGTATGATAATAGTGCCAACTATTATTGCTATGCTGTTTGTAGAAGTTTCTGCTTCCAAGAGTAAGAGAAATAAACAGTAGCCATCAAATTGTATTGTAGTGACTTCATTGATAAAAGGGTAAATAAAATTATTGCAATAGCTAAAACCTATTCAAAAGCATCTATCTTGGAGCTAAAAAAAGGAGAGAGAGAGAGAGGGGGGGGGAGGGAGGGAGGGAGGGAGGGAGGGAGAGAGAGATATGTTAGTGGGCATGGGATTCACATTATTTAAGTACAGTATATGTACTTCCCTCAAAGGCATATTTATGAATGTGATTTTAGAAAGGAGGTGACATTTGTCTTTAGTATTTGAAAAATATACTAGCATCACATAATGCTGAATGTGAAAAACACCTCTATTTAAAACAGCTGCAATCACCCACTGAAACATTTGCAAATGTTCTGGAATTACAGTGTGATAGAGAAAGGTATTTAAGAAATTATGATGCAAACATTTGTGGTGATGAAACCAACCCGGGATTTCAAGGAAAGGATACTTATCAGGCATTCATTTAATTGCTTCTGTTGTATTTGTTCAGCAATAAGTTTTAATGGCTCTACATGTAAGATGGCTTCTGTTATTTTGAAAAATGACCTATTGCCTTCCTGATGATCTATCTATCTATCTATCTATCTATCTATCTATCTATCTATCTATCTATCTATCTATCTATCTATCTATCTATCTATCTATCTATCTATCTATCTATCTACCTACCTACCTACCTACCTACCTACCTACCTATCTATCTATCTATCTGATGTTCATCATGACATAAATTGGTGTTTGACAGATATTTACCTCGGTTTGTTATTTGATATTTATTTTGGTGTTTGACAGATATACGTGCCTTTTGAAAACCACATCTGTCTCCCTCCTGCCCTTTTTGCCTTATGTAATACATAAATGCATGAATCCACTTTTTTTCCAGTGTCATTTCATCATGTGTTAAACTAATCATCGTTTCAGAATATGTCTTATCATATTTAACATTTATTCATCATTCTTTGAATCTCCTCTTACCTGCTTCCAATTCTGTTTTTATCCAGCTCTATTCTTCCACAGGTGGTATTTTTTGTTTTCTATTTCATAATAATGTCAGCAAACAAATACATGCAGAGAGAGGGAGAGAGAGGGGTAAGGAAGGTGAGAAAAATAAATGCCTTATTCTTCAACTGACAAATGTGTTAGTAAAAGAAAAAAAAACAGCTATTTTGTTGATCTGAATGAAAATCAGATCTTAGATTGGCAATTTGAATTCACAACCTGCTTCCCTTTAGCACTGAGT